TTCTGCCCCAGTAGAGGTGATGACACCCGAACTGGCAGAAGCACAGAAGTAATCATACCCGACCTGACAGGAGCCTAGGAGTGAGTGCGCGAGGTGGTTATAAAAGGCTCCCTACCCCCCAATGACAGGTATGCAAACTTTGCAATATCTGGTTTTATCTCGCCTTTGAAGGATTCTAACTTGAGCTTCGGAGCCTTTACACCGGGTTCCTCCCGGAGCTTCCTCATCTCCTCCATTTCAGGTTCCCTGCTGCTCAGTTCAGAGGCAAGGTCGTTGACAGGTAAGACCGGCCGGATTGCGCATCATCAGTTACTCTTTTTATGTATGCTATCATAAAAATTTATTATTTAAATAGTTAATACTAATTTTTTTATTATCTTATTATATAATTATTAATGAAATAACACTTAGAAATATTATTATTTAATTATACATGTATTCTGTTTAATTATTTTATTATAAATTCAATTAATTAATTGCTTAAATTATAATTATTAATTAATTATCAAAGTGATTAATAATAATTATAAACTATTAATTATTAGTTAATTAATTTAATTAATAATTATGTAATAGTTTATTACTTATTAATTAATTAATAAATGATCAACTCTTTAAAAATTATTTAATAATTTATAATTTTTAACAATTCCACTTTTATTAATTATTTTATATTGGTTTAATTAATTGTTAATTAATTTTTTTAATAATTAAACAACTTTTTCATATCCAAGGTTAAAAAGGTTAATTGTTATTTTTAAGATCTCAGCATTCAAATTTTAGAATAATACACCTCTAAAAGTATTTATTACAGTTTTAGAATCATTCAGATGTTAGACTTCAGACCTTCGGTGCAAATGAATAGTCCTTTAATGACTTATTTATAAAGGCAAAGCAATAAGTTTTAAGTCAATCTACTCATTTTTTGTTTGTTACACAATTCAAATATTAATATATCACTTATGCATATATTTAACTTAATTTAAAATCATATTAACTCTTAACACAAAATTCCATTCAGCTCTATGTATCTCCTAGATTTCTGATGATGAAGAAGACAAATAATAAAGCAGATATCATACCAGAGAAGGGTCAACAAGTTAGAATTGTTCATCTTATCGGATAATTTGATTTTGTTTTACATTCCCAAAACTATTTTAACTCTTTCCCATGCCTATATTAGTTTTCCTTTTCATCTTTTTCCCATTTTATTTTAATTGGGTCAGCTGAATTAAAACTCACCAACTCAAGTCTGATAAAACATGGCATTATCAAATTATCAGAGTTGCTTTCTGATCATATCCACATTCGTAGCTTCACCAATTTGATAAGAAAGGTATAGAGGAAAGGACGAGTTCACATTTGCTATACACAATGCTGAATATGGAATCAGGTCAATAGACAACCATTCTGTTGATGTGTCATGGGTGTCACATCAGCAATTAAATGGGAAGGAGGGGGTTTTGTAATGATTAGTTTTGGGATTCAGGAAAGGAAATAGGGGGTTCTTGAAATGCCAAATTGATGGTTCTTGAATCGTCCTGGTGACATGTCACATTAAAATTTAAAAAAACCGACTACTTTTTTAAGGTGTCATATAGTTGTCATTATAAATATGTTATAATATTAAGTCAAATCACTTTAAATGTTCAATCAACATACATCCCATTTTTTTGTGTTTTTCAAAAAAAAAAAACAGGTGAAACAAATGCATGTGCAACACTCCGGTGCCAAACACCATGTCAATTAATTAAAAAAAAAAATCATGTTATGTAGATAGAATATCCCCCAAAAAAAGCAGTAAATCTATCGTAAGAAAAAAAAAAACAAAAACAAAAGCATTGAAATGATGTATCAACTTAATTTTGGAACAACTGGATTTTTGTTTTTTTATACATAGATTTTTGGGTTGTTTTTGGTGCATTATTTGAATGTCCTTGATTTGTAGAACTCCTGGTATTTTACTTGGATGGCTAAGAATAATTTACTGATTTTAAGAAATCTCTTTCATGGACTATATCTTTAGATTGATTTAGTACATCATTTAGGTGGGCTAAGATTAAATGAAAACTTGGTACATCACATAGATGGGCCAGATTAGTTGAAAATTTGATAGACCATTGATGGTCCAGTTCTCTAGTAAGTTGACACATTACATGGCCATATTTTTTTAGATATTTTCATGCATCACTTGTACGGTTGACATTACTCGAAATCTTTGGATGGGCGAGATTGGATGAAATCTTGATAAATTATTTAGATGGTTGAAATTAATTGACTGATAAAATATCATAGTGCATTTTAGATACACAGATATGGTAGAAAGATGTGAATACATTTGGATATATTGGGAAACTCTTACAAATCTACAAATACATCAAATAAAATTAAATTTGAAGTTGAAATCACTATGAATAAGGTATAATCACATCGGAAATGCACACTCCAATAGTTTATATCATCATTGATAGGTCCATTTTATAGTTCTTCCCCACCATGAAGATCATTTAAAACACACATAATACAATAATTTTATAACTTTCAGAATTCCAAAAAAAAAAATCTAAGAAAAGAATTCATTTTTGACACATGAGCATAATTTAAAATATAAGACAAATACTTTTCTATTTTTTGGATTTTCCTAAAAACTTAAGAAAAATCATTTTTATCACAAATTGTTATTAGATCAATAAATTTAATAGATCATTAATGGTCCATCTTATAGTTCTTTCCTACTATAAAACCTAACAATACAAGCCTAAAATATTATAGCTCTAACAATAAATCAACATATTATTATATTTTAAACTTCAAAACATGTAGATCCACAAAACTTTGGAGGGTTAACAAGTACTTACCTGTTCTTGAGTTCAGTCAATTTTCTTTAGTTTTTGACCAACATTTGGGTCATTTTTGCAGGAAGAACCTCTTCCAGAGAAATTAGAAGCAAGTTGGAGTGAGCAAATGTTGTGGTATAGACAATCTGGGAAGGCAACTCGTTCCATTGAACCAGGTGTTGTATCTGTTGGCATCAAGCCAATAGTGGTTCGTATTGACTGATTATACATGCTCAATACAGCCCGTTACCATTGATACTCCATGGCACGAGTGGAATGGTCAACATGAGGAGCATTCCACCTATGCCACATGCCATTCATCTGTGATACTGATACGATATGCAATGTATCGGCCGTATCATATTGATATTTTAAACCTTGATATTAGTGCAAATGAAATTGCTTTGCAAATAAACAGATCATAAGGCTCAGTTTAGAAAGAGTATTAAAATATGTAGAGTGCAAATACATGCAAAATATAAGGTTTTGCGCTCTACATATTTGTATTTGTACTCCTTCCAAATGGAGCCTAAGTTGCAAGTTTTGAACCCAACAAGAATGCCAAAAAGTCAAAACAGAATGAACGGAAATATGCAAGAATAGCTGCGGTACAATTAGCACAATTAGAAAATTCTTCTGCCTTTACATGTATAGAGATGTAAGAAATAGTGTGGGAAGCCTAACATCCACCGAGTACTTTTTTTTATTAGTTTCTACAAAAGTGTCCACCAGTACACGTATTTTTCTATCCTCAAATCTTAATTGAGCACTGACAAATTTGAGTATCCGGGTATGTGGAGTGGAGTGGATGCACAACTAAACTCTTCCTGTGTATAAACAAAGAAGGGGAAGTATTGCTCTCGGCCCAAAACATACACATTTCAGGGAGAGTTGCAAAATGCAAACTATTTCAGTGGAATAAGGGAAATATTCCCCACTGGTGCAAAAATCCTTCACCGGTGGTGACTTCCAGAACCAATAGAACAAGAACTGCCAGCATAGCAGCTCTGCCATTCCAGGTTTCAGCGCTTTTGGTCCAACCCCATTCCCACACAGTTACAGGTGGTGGTAGTTCCCTGCGTTGTGAATCATAAACTGCCAAGAGCTCCTCCACACTACCTAAGGGGACGAGAGACTGCAAACAAAAGAACCCATAGCCATCAGATTAGTTAGGGATACAATAATAGAAAAATTAAAACAAGCACACTTGCCAATGACTTGGAATTATATCACAAGCACCCCAAGCCACCAACTTCATGAACAGAAACGTATACATAGCATGATTAAAGGGCCTTAATAGCGTCTCTATGTACATGAGAGAGAGAGAGAGTGAGTGAAGCATAATCAAAGTAAAAGCACTGACTTAAGATCATAGGTTACCATAAAAGTAACAAAGAAATCTGACAAGTGGATGAATCAAAAACTAATTAAAACAACTAATTTGTAGTTGGCCTGTCGAAAGCCACATGGAATGAGACTAATTTACAGTTGCGAACACTTGAAAGTAGAAATTACATCGTCTAAGACAAATCCAGCATTGTGATCATATTAAGGCACTAGCAATGGCTAATCCCAACTTCATTTCTACGTTTTTATGTCCCTGGAATGGATCCATTTTATATGATCCATCTATGCTTACAAATGATGAGAAAATTTTAAATGAATATAAACCTCAAGCAGGACTGAAAACACACGCCTTGGTGTTAAAGAAAGACAAGAAACGTTAAGCAAGACTTGGATTAAGAATGAAAATAGTCTGGAATAGCTTATCGTGAAGATCCTTCAAATAATTATGGACCCCCAAAGTTCTAGATTTCAGTATAGTTGATGAAGCTTTAAAAATGAAAAAGCAATAAATATCAAATGTATTGAATCAAATACAATAAGTTTAATATAGTTAGCTTGTACCCTGCTATTAATGTCAACTAATTATTTCATTAAAATCAATAATTTAATTCCCAAGATTTCAAATAAATTTCTGTAGGGGTTGGACTTTGGCTTAAACTGTTTTTCATTAATGCTTCACCAGGTATTCTCTTCTATATAATGTTTTTTTGAAAACTTTTTTCTATATAACATTTAAGAAGGAAAAATTAAAAAAAAAAAGTCTTTTTCCCCCATAATAATTTTCCTCACCAACCCCCAAAGTGAAGTTGGATCCTCATGTGTCTCTATTGTGGTTGAAATAGAACAACAGGGAAACAGCCAACCACTGATCTTGTTTTTCTACAAGAGAAAGGGGAATATGTCTAAACCAATGGACATTAAAGAAGCACCAATGCAGGATGTTGCACATGATACAACCCCCAAAGTGAAGTTGGATCCTCATCTGTCTCAGACAGCATCCCAAATAGCCTTTGCAGAGGGAAGAAACATACAAGTATCACT